AGGGTGTTGCTGGCAGGCTGCAGTTACACACAGACACTCAGGGTGGGGCTTGCACGCCGGAGGCTGTTTGTGAGTGGCCTGCGTGGGAGCTATTTCAGCAAGGCATTGCAAGGCACCCAAGGGTGCAGGGCAGGGGTGACACAGCTGCTCATTAGTCTGGATTGTACTTTGGTATGTCACAGCCCTCGAAGGACAGGGCGGTGCCAGGGAGCCCAGCCCCAGCTGTGGTCCAGGCTGGCCCTTCCTGTGCTCTTACCCTTCCCAGCACCTACAACCTGCCCCGCATTAACCCTGTGTTAGAACAATAGTGTGCCCGCTTGGGGCCCGATCCCTGTGTGCCGAGCCCCCATGGCCAGCCAGGCGCTGGAGAGAAGCCACTCGGTCATAGTGCAGGCCGTCCCGGCGCAGACCCCTGTGGCCAGGCATGGAGCCATGGGTGAGCTCTGCCTCGGTTTCCCCTCACCTGGAAAGCAGACCTTCAGGTTCCAAACAGCAACCCCTTTGGAGGGCAAACTAAACCTTTGCCCCAGTGTCCCCCGGGGATGAGACATTGCCAGCCTGGGGCTCTCAGTTACGTGTCCCTGTCCCAGACCCACCCCAAGCCCCCTTCAGTCCTGGATCCTGGTGACGCCGGCTAGATTGGCAAAGGCTGTGCCACTTCTCTGCCCAGTCCCTGCCGGGCACATCGCTCCCAAGGGGGTGACATCTCGGCCAGGGGTCTGGAGCAGGGGATCCACGGGAGTCACTCTGGCAAAAAGTGGGGGCCCAAGCCTGGCCCAATGAAGGAATCCAGCGGAGGGCAACAAAAATGATTAGGGGCCTGGAGCACATGACTTACAAGAAGAGGCTGAGGGAAAAAGGATTAATTAGTCTGCAGGAGAGAAGAATGAGGGGGGATTTGATAGCTGCTTTCAACTACCTGAAAGGGGGTTCCAAAGAGGATGGATCTAGACTGTTCTCAGTGGTACCTGATGACAGAACAAGGAGTAATGGTCTCAAGTTGCAGTGGGGGAGGTTTAGGTTGGCTATTAGGAAAAACGTTTTCACTAGGAGGGTGGTGAACCACTGGAATGGGTTGTGACAGTGCCCCCCATATGGCTTTATGGAATATGCTCATGAATGTATATGTGACATAACTGGAATATGTTTTGGGTTACATATGCCATGTAACATATCTATGTAAAGGCTATGATCTACTTAATGTATTCATCCTATTTGTATGCATGTATCACTTTTTGTATTCGAGGTTATGAATATTGGCTGTGTGCTGGCTTGATTTTCACTAGCCTAGTAGAGTATTTGGTCAGCTTCTTGAGAAAAGTGCAAATTAAGTGCCCAATCAAAAACCACTTAAGCCAACAATGAACTTGAAGATGCCAATCCACATCTGAGCTTTCCCAGGAATGTGGCTTGGCTGGTAAAAACTGAGTCATGCATGGACATGTGACTTGCCCGTGTGACTCTAAAACTCCATCTTGGAGCTGGACTTTCCATAGGAGAGAGGAGGGGGTCTCCACCCGCGAGAGAAAGTCTATTTAAACCCCTGGAAGACCCCTCCATTTGGTCTTCAGCTGGCTAAAGAGAGAGCCTCTCGACTCCCAAAGATACCTGAAAGAAACTGGAACAAAGGACAGTAACTACAGGGGGTGTGAGTGATTGCTGGACCCAGACTAGCAGGAGACTAGTCTGTAAAAGGAAGCTTATTGGAACTGGTGAGATTTTATCTGTATTCAGTTTTATTACTGTATTAGACATAGACTTGCATGTTTTATTTTATTTTACTTGGTAATTCACTTTGTTTTGTCTGTCACTACTCGAAACCACTTAAATCCTACCTTCTATATTTAATAAAATCACTTTTTACTTATTAATTAACCCAGAGTATGTATTAATACCTGGGGGGGGGGGCAAACAGCTGTGCATATATTTCTATCAGTGTTATAGAGGGCGAACAATTTATGAGTTTACCCTGTATAAGCTTTATACAGGGTAAAATGGATTTATTTGGGTTTAGACCTCATTGGGAGTTGGGCATCTGAGTGTTAAAGGCAGGAACACTTCTGTAAGCTGCTTTCAGTTTAGTCTGCAGCTTTGGGGCATGTGGTTCAGACCCTGGGTCTGTGTGGGCGCAGATGGGAGTGTCTGGCTCAGCAAGACAGCGTGCTGGAGTCCCGAGCAGGCAGGGAAAGTTGGGGCAGAAGTAGTCTTGGTACATCAGTTGGCAAGTCCCAAGGGGGTTTCTGTGATCCAACCTGTCACATGGGTTACCTAGGGAGGTGGTGGAATCTCCTTCCTTAGAGGTTTTTAAGGTCATAGAATCATAGAATATCAGGGTTGGAAGGGAACTCAGGAGGTCATCTAGTCCAACCCCCTGCTCAAAGCAGGACCAATCTCCAACTAAATCATCCCAGCCAGGGCTTTGTCAAGCCTGACCTTAAAAACCTCTAAGGAAGGAGATTCCACCACCTCCCTAGATAACCCATTCCAGTGCTTCAGCACCAGGGGCCACAGGGACCAGAGCAGGCAGTGAGCCTGCCTTAGCCCTGCTATGCCGCCAATCAAGAGCCACTCGAAGTAAGTGCTGCCGAGCTGGAGCCCACATCCCTCACCCCATCTCGCACCTGAACCCTCTGCCCCAGCCTGGAGCTCCCTCCTGCATCCAAACTCCCTCCCAGAGCTCGCACCCTTCATCCCCCATCTCCTGCCCCAGCCCTCAGCTCCCTCCCAGAGCCAGCACCCAATACCCTCTCCCACACCCCAACCCTCTGCCCCAGCCCAGAGCCCCCTCCTGCACCCAAACTCCCTCCCAGACTGAGAGAGAAGGCTGCAGAGTCAAACCCTCCAGTGCCCCCTTGTAGACATGCATTACAACACCATCCTTTCAGTGCATGATCACATACTAATTTTACATACATGGGTCATCAGCCACTC